TATTTTAAACGTTCATAAAATATTGAAGAAATTTCGGGGGGGGGGGGGTCCAGACACCTTAGACCCCCCCAGATACGGCCTTAACTGTAACTACCCATTCAATGTATATGTACCGTTAACTTATCACACCAAAAATCATATGGGAGGCTAATGATTTTAGTTTATGAACTCTCCTTAATATATAAATTAATAAAAAAAAAATTTATTAAAAATTACACACAATTCAGATACCATTTATAAAGTGACACAATAAGGTTTTATAATTTTCGGAATTATCAAGAATAATATATCATAGGCAATATATAAGCATTTTCTAAATGAAATTGTTTCAATAATTAAAAACTATATTATACTTATTTATTAAATAATTTATTACTTTATTACATTTTTACTATACAATTATTAAACTTTCTTTATTGTAAATTAAGAATATTCACTTTTATTTACAATTATTATCTAAAATTCTTCTATTATCTTTTATTGTATTAGTTTAAATCCTTACATTTTTAAACTTGTTGTTGAAAAAAGGTTCTTTGGAGTACATACACCCAAATGTGGAGCAATAAAAAATAAAGAAGAAGCAATTATTTATGAGCAGGAGCAGGTTGTAGATAGATGGAAAAAATATATAGAAGCACTTTACAATGAAGAATATGTAGAATATCTGGTATTAAGAGAAGAATTTGACAAAGCACTAAGAGACTTAAAACCAAAGAAATTAGGAATAGATGAGATCCAAACTAAACTTTGGAAGGAAGCAGGAAAAAATATGCTGAATGAATTATTTAAACTCATTAAAGATATTTATAGAACGGTGAATATACGGTGAATATATAATATATAAAATTTATTTATTGTATTAGGGGAGGGGAAGCAGTTCCTTCTCTTGAAACAATCGTCCCCTGTTCAAAGAGAGAAACTGCCAGAGGCCAGGTTCGAATCGATGTCTGAGCGTATATTACGCATATAATAACTTATACAATTGGTTAAATTGTCATTTTAATTTATAAGTTTAATAAATAAGTATATTCATACATTATCTCTTTTAACAGTTGGTAAATTCAATGTCACATTACCACTACAATCTTCTTTTATAGATTGAATGAATTTATTCCCAAGATTTACAATAACATTTCTAACTTTAACATTTCCCAGCACCATTTCCTTTGTTATTATGTCTACCTAAAAATACATGATTGATAAATTAATAAAAAAAAATTGAAAAATAAATGATCTTTGTAAAAAACCAACTATTTCATTTTGTACTTCTTTAATTATATCATAAGCGAGTAAAACTTTTCTTTTATTTCCCATGATTTTAATAACATCACAATTGTCTCCTTCACGTGGAAAAAAAATTCTCGTATCAGTCTCTTCTCTAATCTAGAATATTAAATTATATAAATAACAATATTTCTAAAGGTTGAATTATAAAAGTTAATAAATAATAATTACCTTTTTAATAAATATTGCTCTTTTTCCAGCACTAAGTTTGTGAAATTGTTTAAAAATAGGAATTTCCAATACATAGTTGGTTTCATCCAATACTTTGGCCAATTCAGCTAATGATTTAAGTGCTTTATTTACATCATCGTTCAAACCTCTTATTTTAACTAAATTATTTCTAGCCTCGACTAAGATATCGAACCAAATATTATTTGTTAACAGACAAAATACAAAAAAAACAAACATATTAATACTATTAATAATATTGATTACCTGGACTGGGGAATATAATTTGAACATTAAATATTTTCTGAAATTCTCGAACTTTTTCACCCTTAACTCCAATTATCTTTCCATGGTGACGTTGATCAATTGTTATTTCTTTTTCAATTTTATTTTTCAACTTAAATATAATTTCCTCCAATTCCTAACAAAAGTTTTAATTATTACAAAATTACGAAAGAAACTATTTGATAGAAATTCGTTAAAATACCCGATTTCGTTAATACATAATATTTGAACATTTTTTTTCTAAAAAAAAAAAACAGTAGAAATCTTTTAAAAAATTTTAACATATAATATTAAAATTAAAAGTTTATTGAATTTTTATCGAGTTATATCAAAATTCAATATTAAAATCCTCATTAATTTATTTTTTACTATAAAAGTATAATAGAAATTATCGACATTTTAATTTAGAAATCGTGAAATTTTCAAATATTTATTAAAATATTTAATTTTAATTTAATTAATAAAATAAATACACTAGTACGGTCACAATTAACTACTTTGAAAATAGACATTATCTGTTTTGTCAATTTTTCTCCAACCTATTCATTCCAGTCATTCTTTTCGAAAATGAATTTACTTAAATGTGTTAAACTTAAATTCCAATTCATTAAAACATATTATTGATACATACTTGAACTACTTTTTTCGTGGAATCCTTTGTTCCAGTAATATAAATTATGTCAGGCGAATTTTTCATATACGGTAGTTGAATACGTGCTCCTGTACGTTTTTCAATACTTTTAAGATTAAGTCCTTGTTTTCCCAATAACTTACTTCGATGTTCTTTTGGAAACTGTGTAGTTGTAGTTTTAATCTGAAATTTTAATGTTTTAGTTAAAAAATATATATATTATATTATATTATATATATATAATAAAATTTATATATTTATATATATATATATATTATATTGTTGTGGAAATATAACATATAGTAATATTTAATATTACTTTTATCAGTTTATCTTATTAATTCCAACTTAAAACTTATTTACTTGAGTTTGGTCGCTTGCGATAATCTTTTGTTTTGCCCGTTCAACATTAACACTATATCCGCTGATTAGTAAAGTCAGGTCCATGGTTTTTGAAGTACAAATCTCTATTCCTACATTATATTCTTTCCCAATTTCTATATATACTTCCTTACATTTTTGTTGCTCTATTTGACTATTCCTGTCCCAATTTCGGTCTTGGGCAGGTATTGTAATTATCTACAAATTTTACAAAATAAAAATTAAGATGAAATTTTATTTATATTCAAGATATAAATCAACAAAAACTTTCTAAACTATTACTATTCATACAGAAAAATGTTATTTAAAATCATAATAATGATGTTCTTTAATATGGAAATTATCATTCTATAATTTGTATGTTATTTTTTATTTAACTTATAACACAAAGTTATTATAGCTCAACAATTAAATCATGTGAGTAAGATAACTAAGTATGTATTTTAACATTAATATACAATAATCATTATCATTAAATAATATTAGTAAAATATAATAATTTGAGATAATTATAAAATAAGAGTTAATTTTGATCGATCAATTAAAATTTACAAGTAACGGATAACATATTAAGTGGTTAAAGACGTGATCATTTAAATGAATAAAGTAGAATTTTAAATAAGAATTTGGGCTTAGGAGTAAGGTGATTACGTAGAAGAACTGTAATAATAAAAGAGGGGAAAATATATTTATTAATACCAGAAGACCTGAGATCAGTTGAGATAACGATATATCGTCCATAGCGCTATTAGGTAATAGGATTTTATTAGAATCAGTGATGGAGGCAAGAAGCTTTGGAAAGAGGTTTGATAAGAGGAGACGTGAGTACAATATTTTTATTTTGATGATTACAAGTGGGGTTGTTTTGCGACGTTTAAGAAGTAATTTATGTTTAGGACAACCATTATAGTTGGAAATATGATCACCCACGAAAAATCCGCACTTAGTTGAACTGCCTTTCTATTTAATGTTACTATTTCAGGAGTGATTTCCCCCACATTTAACACAGCGTGAAAGATGAAGGGTCACCATCATTTCCGGTATAGTGATGGTAATAGTTAACATTGTGACCGTAGCTATGTCATTTTAGACACTGAGGTAAATCACTATAAGTCTTATTGGGTAATTCAACTTAAATTTTTGTATGCAACATTGATGATTCATAAAGAATTTTTTTATCATTTGTATTTGAATTAATTTCAACAAAGAACAGCGGAAGCGTATGGCCATTTTGAATGACATTCGTAATTCTTTTACGGGAATCTAATTCTAATTGGGCATCTGATATATATAGTGACCTGATGTTTTTATATTGGTGGTAAACAATAGATTCTTTGGTTATATTATGAACGTCATAAGAGGTGTCGAGTTTGATTTCTTTGTCCACTTCGATCGAAAAGACAGTGAAACGATTAGGCGAAACTAATGGTTTAGTGTTTTTCCCCATATGAATTTAAGAATTAGGCTATGATAGCAGCGACTGTTTGGGTTTGGTAGTAAGCGGAGAGGGTATGTTGTCCATCTTGAAAGTGAAATCGCATAAATATAATACCGTGAACTGAACTAACTTAACTTAAATAAACTAATAAAGTAACTTAACTAAAATTGCGATAACGGAACGGGCAAATTATAATCGCACTGACATGCGACCGTGTTACAAGTCAATATCAGACTGATCGTTCTAATACTTATTAATTACTATTAAAATGACATGATAAATTACTTTGTTCACCGTTGAAGATTTAACATTACTCCGTTTTTTAAACGGTACACTCGCGATTCTGTTCGATGTCTTCGAAACTGGCAAAGTTGGAAATACGATATCGTAGTTGTTGCCATTATTCTTAGCATCTCCTGAACTAGATTGGCCAGACACAATTGATACATTTTTCATCATTGTTGCTCTGAACAGGTACTAAATTGTTTTCTGAAACAAAATCTAAAAACTCTAAAATCAAAATACGAATGAAAAAAAAAAAATTAATTCATTCGAATTCGATATCAATGTTCAACCAGTATTATGTTTCAGAAAGTGATTTGATACGTCATATAAATCAACTATATGTTCTTCTATAACTATAAACAACTAACAAACTAAATCACCAATAGTTACAAATATGCGTAATATAATTTTATATTTATTAATAAAGACTAATAATGCAATATTTTTAAGTCTGTATTATTAAACGATAATCGATTGAAAAAAATATATAATATATATAATATTTAATGTTATTTTCTCTCGGCTTTTATTAATGAGGATAAATGAATGATCGGTCGGGACACCGGGACAAGTTGTAAATTTGGTTACTAGTTGTAAATATACTGAGTTTTAAAGAACTGATAAGTAATTTTTTAATCAAAACATGGTTCTGAGCAAAGGTTCAGTATAAAAATTAACCATTTATGAGTATATTTTACCATTTTTAGTCTAATTATTAGTAAGTTCTTTTTTTTTATAAACATGTTTAATATTTTATTTTTTACAATCTTATTACATTTTTTTTTTTTTAACCAAATATTTATCTGTATTCAATGTTTCATTATCATTGGATGGACCACATTTTTTTAACAAACATTTAATGTTGAAAATTGATGTAAAAACATTAAAATCCGTAAAAATTGTAAGTATAAAAATTTACTTAGGTAAACACTTATGAAAAAAATTTTAGACTAACGATTTTTAAAATTTTTTCAGTATCGGTAAATTAGTAAATACTCGTATACGAGTAAGGTGATATTACATTTTCATTTAATATCCAAAAATAAAAATTTTATTAGATAAAGATTTTCAAAAAATTAGGTATTTTTAAAGTTCCATTTTTAAATCAAAATCGCTATTTGAAAATTTTATCAAATACGAAAAAAATATCTTTGTTATATGGTACAATTTTTAAGTTTCTAACTACATTATTTTTGGAATTATGACTAAATAACTAAAATCTGAAAAGTGAAAGTCTTATTTACAGCATATTTTTACCGTTACAGGACAGTTTTTCGTCACGCCTAGAAAAACTATTAAGATTTAAAAAAAAAAATGACTTATTTAAAGTATCAAGCCAATTTAAAATCTAAAAAGTTCCTAGTAAAAACTTTTGGAGCAGTATTTCTATGTAAAAAAGTGTTAAAAAAAATAAAATACAAACATCATTATGAAACATTAATATTCTTCGCTTCATTTAGAATCTAAAAGCGAACATGAGATGAAAAATTTGTGTTCACAGACGGGTAATTCGTTATATGCGCAATAAAAATATAAAATCAAAGCGAACAATTTAAATTTAGAAATATTCAAATATTTTAGTAACTGTTGAATTGTACGGGTTGTGGGTGTCTATATGGGTTCCTAACCAGTAAGGAACATAAAAAAGATAGAAGGGCTTCAGCACCTCTAGTTTTTTCATTGAAATTGCGCCCATGGATAAAATATAACCAAGCAGCCAATACATCCAATCTGATAAAACTTACCACTAAAAAAAAAAAAAAAAATTAAAAATGTATTCTCCTGCTGTACTGTTGATGTGTTTTTGGTGGTTGGTAAACATACAATTACGTACAATATGAGGTAGAACGGACTAACTAAATCGGCAAAATATTGGAAAAAAGGCAATTTATAATTACACATAAATTATACACGTAAATTATACGTTTTAGTTGAGATTAATATTTGGTTGCCTATCTTACATTTTTTGCTGACCCAGTCTCTGTTCTGTATTAGGTTTTAATTTAATTGTTTTTGACTAATCCGTACAAAACTTATCAAAAACTAATTTATTTATTAGGAATGGATCAGAAAACATGTAAAACCGAGTACAACATGTAAAATAAAGTAAAAATTAAGTAGTTTCACGTGTCTTCGTCTTTGATTCTGTAACTTACTAAGTGATAACAAAATACCAAATTTATTAAAAAAAATGTTTAGAAAACATAATACGTAATAAATAAAAACTTATTATTAACTTTTACAACATGTAAAAACATATTGTGTATTATTTTGACTGTAGGGTACTCGAAATCATAATAAATTAAGTATGATAAAATTGAAAATTGTATATTTTCAGGATTAAATGTTCTAGGAACAGTAAAGGACTGTATCATAAGTTACATATTATCTATAAATATAACTAATAAATCTATATAACTAAACTAATTAATAATGAATATTTTACTTTTATTATACTAACGACAAAATGCATTATTTCAAAAAATATCGATTCAGTGGATATGAAAACTTGTCGATTACAAGTATCATGAATCATCGTCCTACTACACATAATGATATTAACATTACATCATAATTATTTGTTGTTCGTAATTTTAAAATAACCCGTTTCTCGAATAGGAACTACTTAAATATATTGTTTATCGACACGCTCATAATGATCGATAAATCATTAGTTTCTACAAGTGGTGTTGAAAAATGTAATTCTATATCATGTATATTATCAATGCCAATGACAACCGAACGCCCAAATCCAACTACGTATAATTGGTTTTTACATCAGTCATGACGTACTTATGTAGTCATGCGTATCTAAATTATTTGATAAAACATGTCACCTCATTGGTAAACTTGGCAATACATTGGTTCAGAGGCTCGGAGGGTATGCTAGAAGCTCCCATTTATAAAAATTTCAATTTCAATTTATTAATATTGTTCTTGTTTTATAAAATATTTGATAATTTTGTTAAATATACATGCTTGTACATTTATTTGTCATTATTCCTGTAATAAATATCGATTACAAGTTACGGCCTCGGCCTTCGGCTTATGGTTATAAATTGCATTAAAATAAATTATAACCTATTATCTATGTCCTATGTACAAGTCTATAAACCTTTTTAATATTGGATAAAATGTTCCGATATATATATATCGATATAGGGCTATAATAGAGATCGATATATCATGATATCAATATTGGGTATGCAATGTATCGAAATTACAATATATCGACGGTGCAAATGCACACGGAAATACAAAGATGAATTCGTTTATAAGAAACGAATTCTTAAAAACCACATCCGTGGATAAATTAAAATTATATCAACACATGTACTTATTGGAACCACAACTAGGGGGACACGCGTCATACACATTATCATTTTACACATACACGAAAATTAAATAAAGTAATAATTTTTAAAATAACATTAGACCACAGCCTGGATCTCTACGTCAGTAGCCGTAAGCCGGACGGGGGACAGCACAAACACATGCGTCAATCACTATAGACATCGGGTATATAAGAGACCCGGAAACAAGGGCAAATCAACGCAACAGTATTATTTAATCGGAGGATGTACAAATGTTATCGAATTCTGACGGTATACGCGTTTGATAGTTTTCGTTTCGTTTAGTGTTATCTCTCTTGGCGGTGCGTGGAGAAGTTATAAAAGCGCGTGTATGCATATGTGAACTTTTATTTTTCGCGACAGAACGTCCGGTTCGCAACGATGAATGATTTTTCGAGTTGTATATTTGCGCTCTTGTTCGTCGCGACCGTGTGTACAATGCCCGAACCAACAAAAACCGTCGAAAGCCAATATCTGTCGATTATAACCATTATGGAGCCCTCTAAAGATGTGTATACACGTTTCGTATACGAAACGGTGAAAACGATTACTGCGAACGTTCAAGAGACGGCGCCGACCGATGGGAATCAATCGGAAGGAAAAAGGAAGTCCAATATTGCCATAGAAAAACCGCGCACCGACGAAAGGTTGAAAAATGACATTACATCAAGTGATTATGAACTTCGAAACGTTTTTCAGGGGAATGAAAAGGTGATCTCTTGTCCGGTAGGACAAATTCGGCAAAACAATGAATGTTTGGAGAAGACATCATCAAGTAATCCTGAAGAAAGTTGAACTATATTATATGAATCTGAATATGTATATTATCTATTGGAAATTGGTAGGTATTATATAATATATTCATCTTTAAGTCTTACCTTAAAGTTAGAAAACGTTTAAGCAGTACTATGTTCTTTTGGATATAACGCAATGTGTCTTTCTTGGACTTCCTATGACACAGACATTTCAAATTGATAATTATTGAAATTCAAGATTTTCCGTTTAATTTATTTGTTTTTGTGTTATCGTTCGCTTTAGCTATTTATTTGTATAAATATAAACGTTTTGTAAAATTATTAAAAAATTTAACTTATGTCTTACTATTTTTATATTTATATCGAATAAACCTATTATTATACGGCGATATATATATATTATATATAATTATATTTTTTTACAAATAAATAAATAATAAATAACCAATAAATACGTAATAATCTCTGATTTCTTCATTTACCTATTCACATACATTATCTTGTTATTTAGATTTTTAAGTAAATATATATAGTAAAATCACAATTATTACTGGTAGGTTGTTTCATTAAATTATATAAAATATAATGATAAACAACACAGTAGTAAAAAATGTTTAAATAGTTCATTTTTAAATTATATATTAAATAGTTAGTGCCTAGTACCCATCAGCTTTAATAAAATAAAATATTTTATAATTAGTTGTATTCATTTTAGTTATAGTTAGGTACATATAGGCTGAGACATAGTTAAGTACAATAGACTGAGACTCAATCGTGTCGGCGTATCAAAGAAAATTGAAATACAAAAGAAAACCAACACGATTCAGCATAAAAAACTCTGCAACGTTGCCATTTTCAATTTTTAACTGGGTACAAAAATATTTATTTAAATAATTATAATAATTCAAAATATAACATGGCAAAAAAATATCATGTTTTCATAGTCAATATATAATATACCTAGTCACATTGTATAGTATATAGATGTGTTCGAACGAAACGAAACGCACTATACACGACTATAGGTGATAATCATTTTGGAATTGTATCTTTACTGTCTTATATTTCCCCCCGATGCAAGGCCGTCCCGAAGGGGGGTCTTGGGGGATGTCTCACCCCCCCCCCCATACAACGAA